TAAAACTAACAAAATTATTAATGAAACTAATAAAAACGAAACAAAATTATTGCAAATTTGAAAAAGATATAAAAATAAAACGAATTTAAAAATGCAAAACTATAATAACCTTGGTCTCCAGCAACATTTCCAGGTTTTGTTGTTATATATTTTTTTTTAAGAATTCTCTTCTGCTCACCAAGGCTGCATTTATTTGATCCAAAGTACAGCAAAAACAGTAAAATGTTGAAATATTTTTACCATTTAAAATTGCTTTCTATTTTAATAGATTTTAAAATGTAATTTATTCCTGTGATCATACATAGCTAAATTTTCAGCATCATTACTCCAGTCTTCAGTGTCACATGATCCTTCAGAAATCATTCTAATATGCTGATTATCAATATTTAAAACCGTTGAGTCATTTTTTTTGCATCAAGCTTTTGTAACATTATACAGTATTCCATTCAGTATCATTTTTATTAATTTTTTGGGAAAGAAATTAATACTTTTATTTAGCAAGGATGCTTAAAATTGATCAAAAGTGATGATAAAGGCATTTATAATGTTACAAAAGATTTCTATTTCAGATAAATAGTGTTCATATCGATATCGGAATTATATCGTATCGACCGAAATTAAGAATTATATCGTGATATCAATTTTGGCCATATCGTCCAGCCCTAGCCTACCATTAAAAGCCGTGCTTGCACAGGTTCTGCATGATCCTCTTCAATAATATCCTCTGCTTCTCAATCGGGCTCAAACTGATAAACAATATTAACGATGCAGTTGTTTACAATACAACCGGAGCACATGCCGCCAAGGTGAGGGGCGGGACAATTAGACGCGGTTTAGCCAATCACAACACACTGGGCTAGCTAACCAATCAGAGCCCATCGCCTATTTCTGAGGGAGGGGCTTCATAAAAGCAGGAAATGATCAGCATGTTTCTCAGAGAAGGGACAGAGAGGTGTGGAATAAAGGTAAATTATGTGAAAAATAATGTGTTTTTTTAAAAACGAAGCATTAACACGTTAGACTGCACCCCATAAACACAATCAAGCCTAGAAAAAACCCAGTGAACCACCCCTTTAACAAAATTCAAATCTGCTACTCTTTGAGAAAGTGGCATCGCAAACCCTGAGCGGTGCAGCTTCCTCTTGGCTTCTAGACAGAGCGGTCGAGAGCTTACCGAGCTAGAAGCAGAAGGTTAATAGCGCTTGTTGGTCAAGCAAGGCCCTCTTCCTCCACCGAGGCATATCTTATTGCTATCTTTCCTCTGTGAGTCTGGGCACAAAGGCTGGTTGTGTTGTATGAGCTTTCTAAGGATATGCGTTCTGTGAAACCCTTTTATGGGTCAGCCCACACTACACAACAAGGCCCCGTGACCGTTCATCTACGCAATTTGAGGATCCCTCTCTGACCAAATCCACCATTTTTTAACAGCAACTTGGTGCGTGGCAGCCAGATTAAGGCAGTTTTTGCCATTTCTGGGAACAGGATTGGCTTGAAAAACCACAACCTGGACAGAACAGGTTTCATTCTCGACATCGGCGCTTCATATGTGCCTGCCAAGGAGCAGTAAAAGAGACAACCAGAAAAGATCAAATCTGGGCCTTCTTTGACTTCACCAGTAATAAACTGGGATGCAGAAACACTGTCCTAAATAGATTTTGCAACCCGAGTTTCAAATTAAGGCTCTGATTTAATTATTTTCATAGTTACTGCATCTCTCCGATCTGAGAACAATGTAAGGACGTGTTATGAAACAATCTAGCTTTGCTTACAGCCACAAATGAGCTAATGGCTCTGCCACCAAAACGAAAGCAAAGAGCGGCCTACTGGTCAGATCACGAGATGAATATAAACTGACACTAGTGCAACTCAAAGACACTTACTAATGTTCATTGCTAATAAATTAACATGGAGACTTTCAGTAACAGTTTATTTATAGTTTCATACCCTTGTAAAAAAAAAAAAAAAAAAAAGAAAACATGTTTGATCCTTATGCTTCCCATACCCATTGGCCAATGAATTTCCATGACTTTTCCAGTCATTTGATTACAAGATATCACAGGTTAAAAAAAAAATTATACAGACTATGCTTAGAAGTCGATAAATATTTTAAAACACTTAAACACTTAAAAAACATTCCCTGGTCTAATAATAATAACATTTTTTTCGCAAATATTGTGTTCCTACCAAGCAAACACGGGAAAAAACATATTCATTATTGAATTTTTAAGTAGCCTATATTTTGACAATACTTAAAGAACAAGCTCATTCATTATGTAATATTCCATGAAATTCCTTTATATTTCCACGACCGTGGGAACGCAGGATCCCATTAGAACTGGGTCTACATTAAGATGACTATTCCATCACCATAGGATTATTGACATGTGGACATGTTGTGCAATATCCAACAACCCGAAAAAAACAACGCATTTCAACACGTGCATGAATTACATAAACTGAAATCATGCACACGAATAACAAGTTGTGAAAGCAACACTTCGATTTCGAATTAAGCAGCATGCCAGCATCACTATGCATTAGATCCACAAAGCAATATGCGTTCATGTCAAACCTCGTGCATCTCTCGGCCATAATTGACGGTCGCAGCAGCTGTCAGCGATGCACTTACCCAGTAAGAGGAGTTTGAGCTCTCGTCTCGCATCTCGTTTGTCTCTCCGGAGCTGCTTGTCGATCTCGGCGTTGATTCTTTTGGACTCCTTCGCCTCTTCAGTCATGCAACAGGCCATCATGGACTCCAGAGTCATCACCACAGCGTTTGGAGATCCCAACCCTGATCTGACACACTTCTACGACCCGCTTCCCTTTGCTACCGCGTCGAAAGGGGAACAGGGTGGATCTGGGGGAATGTTGTTTAAAAATACAGGATGCCTTATGGTAGACGTAAATCGATCCAGTAAAATAGACCCCAGCCTGCTCATACAAACGGATCTATCAAACAAGGCCAAAGACTGGATGAGATTGGAGGCCAGATGTGAATCTAAAGATCTCCCCTACTATCAGACCCGCTCAAGCCCTGTTTTTAGAATCTGTAATGACTACCAACCAGAGTCCCGGAGGGACAAACTAGCCTGCCACGACATCCGTGCTGTCCTTTGCTGTCTCGCTAAGCTAACCGCCCCAGTGCCCAGATTCACCGCAACACTGTCCATCAGCTGCCCGGATCTCTAGCTAACACACGGCGACAGGTGGCAGAAGACAGCCATATGCGCTTTTAGAAACGCTGCGTGTACATATAACACTGACTACAGTGCAAACATTTGATTTTGAGCATCCAAAACCCGAAAAGTTAATTAGCTAAGGGCACTAACTAGCTTAATTGGGTGGGCTAAGCTGCTAGCTAGCCGGAATCTTTATTTACACTCCACGCGCTGATTTCACCGCTCATTTCTTTGCATCCGATTGGGGTTCAATGAGATTTAAAGCCGAAAAATTTGGCGGAAGAAAATGACAGGTGTGGGCTCCTTAAAAAAAAAAAAAGAAAAGAAAAGAAAAAAAAAAAAAGATCGACGGAGTGAAAAAAATTTCCAGATGATCGCACCGTCTAGTCCGGTGTGAGTCGCACACAAACCTGGAGCTGCGACAGCTGGAAAATGGAGCGTGAGTGACAGAGCGCCGAGCCAATCGGAGGAGGCAGCGCTCGAAGGGGCGGGGCCTGGAACGAGGCAAGGTCGGTGGAGAAACGGCTGTGGAGCTCACGGGGCGTGTCTCGCCACAAACCCTGCTATTCGACTGAATGGACAACGCCCATTCCTAGTCAAACATATCTGGAGAAGCCCTATCCGCTCTATATATTTTAATAAAACACCTTTAATAGTTTCATAAAATATATAAAACATATATATTCATATACAAAGGTTTATTACTAAAACCATTCACAGACAAATGTCGCTTCTGTAAGAGAGAATTAACGTGTCTTTATCGACACTGTGTGGAAACTGCTTGGAAGAAAAGAGTCAAAAAACTGGGTCCAGTATTTTACCTGGAGCTATTTAATAGTTACTGATCCTGTAGTTGCTAGGTACTATTTCAGCACTTGACTATCTGTACAGTTGTTGGTAAAATTCAGTTGTCTATTAAAAGATAACAGTTCACCGATTACAGTTTTTGACAATAATGCTTATATTGGACTTTTCTGCATAAAATAATGCATAGCCCACTAAAATGTTTGAACAGCAATAAACCATTGTTTTGGTCAACAGAAAACGTAATGAAATGAGACAACCAGTCCCAATATATATAAAACAACTTCCCTGTGTGACAACTAGCCCATTTCTCCCTAAAAAAGTAAGCTAGTAAATCAAAACAGATATTTAAAACTATATAAACAGCTTCACTTAATTGGTGGGGGGAAAGTGACAGCCATTCCTAGTTGTACCCCTCTGCAAAATGTGAAATGCAGTGCATTAGTATTGAGATGTTCACAGGTATGGCAATGAGCAATCAAGATAACAATGTAGGTTATGCTGTAATTTTAAGGAACAGTTGCCCCAAATACTGTCATGATTCTATCATGATTTACTCCAAACCAAAGAAAATACAGGTTGAGCCATTATGACATTATGAAATATGAAAGGAAGAAGGAAACATTGTAGGGACAAATCCAGGCCTGATGAGAATTCACTACAGCAGATCAAATAGAAAAGTGGATGAGACAGAGAAGGAAGTGGATCTATTGCTTTGAGGATGTGACATCACTCACTAGGTTTTCTCAGCAAGAACGACCAAGTTCTGGAGGCGAACAACAAGGATGTAAGTTTTTGCCTTCCCAGACTTCTAACAAATCCTTTCAACAATCAACTCAACAGTTTGATTACCTCAAATGGAAGTAAGAAGGAACTGCAGACCCTAAATTTGCATTTTTAACCAACTTTTCCTACTTTAGATGTCATTTCTAGTGAGAACTTAGTATTGTAGTAATTACATGTATGCTTAGTTATCATCAAAGCTCTCCCAGATAGCACGCATCTGTTAAAAATCGCTTCATCTGGAAAGCACCTGCATCTTAAGATGTCAGTTTTACATACATTCTATTAAATCATAAACATCTAAAAAAGACATTTTCTAAACGTCTATATTTGACATCTGATAGGAAACGTCCAATAGACATATTGCAGATGAGCAAACAGTCTAAAAAAATATGTCTTGCCGATATAAATGCAGATGTCAAATAGACGTCTCTGTGATATATGTGTGCTATCAGGGCTCTCTCTGTTTTGCTGTAGATCAACTAGCTATTTTGCTCCTGCAGAAGTCTGTCTGAAATCACTTTTAGGAGGTCACCTGACAGGGCAGTGAGGCAACAAGTCATCTGCCGAAGTTTTCGGACACAGCCCTGAAGTTTTGAAGCTTCAGAAGGACTGCTCTAGGAAGAACTCAGCCTCACTAGGATGCAGCCTGCCATTTGAGAAGCACCTGCATGTGTCATCTCTTGTTTGTCATGCATAGCTGAGTTGCTTTTCCTCTCCTCAGTAGTTTGGCGCCACCTTCAGGCAAGCCTCGAGACGATAAAGATACCCATGCTCTTCATCCAGGTTTGCTTGAAGAGAAAGTGGTTAGCACTGAAACAGAGAACTTTAAAAGCATTTACTCTCACTTCATCTGTGCCACAGACACCATAAACACCCAAACACTCTTCAGCATCATTCAAGACATTATCATTACCCAGTTCCTAAAATGCGCCGTTTAAACCTTTCTAATAAGCCCAAAACATACTTTTAGCATGCAATCCATCTGCATTCAATGACTCTATTTTATAAAGGAACTTTTGCATAATCAAAAGAATAAATGTAATTAAGGATTCATTTTCACTGCTTAAAATAACATGCTAAACTTGGATGATAAAAAAAGAGAAAGGTGTACTATTACTTTGTCGCTTAATAGTTTGCAGTTCAGCTATTTTAATTGCTATATTACAATTCTTAAAAAGTAAAATAAAAATGGCTAGTTATAGGCCTAACTCATTTACTTTGGTGAATATTTAAAGTGTACTTTGAAAAACAGTTTTTGCAAAGGCACAAGCCTGAACGTCTTCTTGACTACAAAATATTTTATTTTATTTGCAGCATTATTGCCTAAGGGGGGAAAAAATGATACGGTTTAAGCAAAACTTTTGAAAACCTTTTGTGACAACATGCCCCAATAGCAGCTCTAGAAGCAATAGCGACAACTAATGGGAACCTGCTGATAATGGACTTTTCTTCTAAATTTATAAAGTAAAACAAGCATACTAATCCATTAGCCACTGTAAAACATTGTTTTCGGTCAACAGAAAACGTTACTAATAAACTGACAAGCAAATGCAATACAGCAATAATGTCATGGCAGATTCATTCCTCTGACTTTCCATTGGTTCTCTTCTGCTCTGCAACATATCCAGTATATTATACATTAAAGACAGACTTTCAAGAAATGTAGGCCTAACTAGTTTGTCTGTAGAACAAACATGAAGAGAGGGGCACCATCGCCAAAAAGGAGCTCAACCTCATCCTTGCTGAACAGAAGGAAAGAAAACAGAGAGAAATAAAATTGCTTTTATTCGGTGAGATGATTCTGACAGTTGTTTAATCAGAATTTTTATTCAAACTTATCCACTTGATCTCATTCATTTTATAAGTCATCGTGTGTACTTTAGCACAAGACAGCGTCTTACGATTGAGGGAAGAAGGAAAAGGTTGTGAAGAATTAGACTTTGGTCTCTAAAAGAAGTGAAAGTAACTTGGGTAACATGGCATTAGATGTTGTGACACAAAGCAGGTAAATATCATTAGGGGTTTGTTACATTTACATTTAGTCATTTAGCAGACGCTTTTATCCAAAGCAGTAAAAATAAAAGCAGTCAAAACTAACAAAAGAGCAACAATATATAAGTGCAAATGTCAAGTCTCGGTTCGCCTAATATATATTATACACACACACATACACACACACACACACACACACACACAGACACACACACAAAGAAAAACAAGTAGATAGAATAGAAAAAATAGAAAGCTAGTGTTTTTTTTAAATAAAAAAAGAAGATAAAGTAGAATTAAAATAGAATAGAAAGTGCTAGAGTTAGAGGGTCAAATAAAGGTGGAACAGATGTGTTTTTAGTCGTTTCTTGAAGATGGTTAGCTGCTCGGATTGATTTGGGCAGGTCATTCCACCAGGAGGGAACAGTTAATGAAAAAGTCAGTGAAAGTGATTTTGTGACTCTTTGAGGAAAAGAAAGTTTGAATCAGGTTTGACAAAAAAGATCTACAAAATGAATAAGACTAAGGGGACTTTCCCGACATAATCTAAGAACTGATGAATAGACCTGGTGATTCTTAAAACTAACTTCACTTTTCTTGTCCCAAAGTAATTTTAGTAGATGTATGAGTTTAGTTCCCTTTCACTCAGGTGTCCTGACTTTTAGAAATGGTTCCAAGTTATTCCACAAGTTTTTTTCTATATACTTTAGGTCAGTTCTCAGACTGGGCCATTCGAAAATATGTCTTGCAGATATAAATGCAGATGTCAAATAGACGTCTCTGTGATATACGTGTGCTATCAGGGCTCTGTCTGTTTCGCAGTTGTTTCTACCAGCACAGCAAAAAAAATCATCACTAATTCCTCTTAAGCCATTCCTTTGTTGACTTAGATTTGTGTTTGAGGTCATTATCATGCTGAAAGACGAAATTCCTTTTCATTTGTAATAAATATTCATTTTGTAGATCTTTTTTGTCATACCCGATTTGTCAAACCTGTGGTTTGGCTCCACCTTCAGGCAATCATCAGAATGTACAAGATACCGTGCAGTTCATTGCAGTTATATGAACAGAAAGCTGTTAGCAAGGAGACGGAGAACAAAAGAGTAATTTACTCTCACTTCATCTGTGCCACGGACACCATAGACACCTGTGCACTCCTCCACACTGTGAAACATGCTGCCATGTTACAGTTATCACAGAAATATGAAGTGTTATAATGAGCCCAAAACATACCTTCAGTGGCTCATAGACTGTATTGATCTCCATCTACATTCAAAGACACTGTTTTATAAAGTAATGCTTCCATGCTCAACAACAGCTGAATAAATGTTTTATTATTGATGACAGAGCATACTTGAAAGAAATGTAGTTAAGGATTTGTTTTTATTTTGTTAAAAATATATATATATATATATTATAAATGCCCAAATGCAACATTTGGGGTCCATTTTCAGAAGCAGATCTGATGTAGGGCTGCAGGATAAATCGAAATGGAATCGAGATCGCGATTCGACAGAAGCTGCGATTGTCATGCGTATCTTTCAGTGAAGCACGGTTCTGTGATCAGCAGTAAATCTCCATCCGAAGCATTCATCAGCTCTCGCGCTGAAACTCCAAATATGCCCCGAAGAAGTAATCCAGGAAATGCCTATCGCTGCAGCTGAATAAACAGAAGATTCAACTGGGCTGCGTTCAGCCCCGACAAAAACGGTGCAAAACGTGCGTTGAACACCCTGTTCTGATGACACAAGAGTTGCAACTATGGCAGCTGAGAAGGCCAATCTTTGTGTTCTTTTTGAAGAATTTTCGGAGCATGATGAAATCAGTATAAATACGTGTTTAATACTGCAAAATACGCTCAATGTTACAGTCACTACCCTTGCCATCCAGAATAAAAGAGAACATCCCAATCGAGTGAAGGGATTTGTGCAAACTGTGGTTCCTAATTATTGTGATCCAACATTTGCCTCGCATTTCAGGATGAAAAGACAAACATTTCAGGTGAAGGATAATCCACTTCTTACTTCCAAGACTGTTATGATCTATATGACCTTA